TTTTATTTTCTTTTTAAATCTTTTTTTTTTTTTTTTTTTTTTTAAATGGCATAATTTGAATCAAAAACTCTAACGTTTAACCGGTCTGATCCGGTTGTGTTTTCTGCAAAATGTGGTACAAATGTTATATATGATTTTTAAAAAATTTTTTTTGATTATGGGATGGGGTGGGGGGGGGGGGGTTAAGCTATGACATTTTAGTACGTTTACCTTTTTTTTAATTTTATTTTCTAGTTCAGACTCGCTGCAGCAATAAGTGAGTGAGATTTGAGTACCAAACGCCCCCTTGCCTGACTGTCTCTATAAGAAGTGTTTTCAGTGTATATGTTGCTTTTTCCATGTCTCTCACACTTACTGTACATTTTGTACAAAGATTCAAATTACAGCAGTAAAAGAAGCGTGTAACACTGTCTGAGTGACACACACATGCACACACTCTTTTCACAAGGCTAACTCTGTTTTTTGGCCCAAATCAAACTATAAAGGATAATGTAGTTGCTCTTACAGTGATGGTGGTTTTTAAAGGTCTAATATACTATTTGCTACATGTTTCTAAAGAAGCGAAATGTTAACATTTGCTGCTTAAACTGACCGTTTCAATGGCACTATGCATTTTGGAAATCATCAGGTTGTCCTTAAACTACGCTCATATGTTTTGCAGGCAGGCACATGGATAATCAGGACAAACGTCTATGAATTTTTCAAGCAAATTTGCAACATCTTACATTATCACCTTTAAAATGAAATAAGAAGCCTACATTAGTGTACGTTCCCATAGTGGGGTCCCATAAAAGATTGTCACTTTGAAAATGGTCACTATACTGGGAAAGAATTAATTGTGGTGTTTAAAACAAACTTAATGAACTTGTTTTGAGTCTATCATCTTGATGGTTTGCATCATCAAACACTCAGTTTCCAGATTCTGCTTATTGTATATATGTTGTTATGTTCTTGATATCAGAAGTCACTACACCACATATATGATCTTAAAAAAAAAATAAAAAAAAGCTATTTTTTAATGTAATTGCTGCTGTCAGCAATTACATTAAAAGCGAGCAGTTCAGGAAACCGACATCAGAAAAATGTTATACAGTAGACATAAGTAATTTGGAGTTACAATTTAAACCATTAGCTTATATAATATAACGTAAGAGTCTGAGTATATTTTAGTTTCCCACTTCCTCAGGAAATCTACTGATGTTCCAGAGAGTCTTAACATCAAGCCAAACACAGCATTGAATGTACAGGCAAATACAACCCATTAATGTTATCTAGATTTTCATCTGGTCTTGTGAGTAAATATAGAATTACATTTCACAGTATTTAGATCTTAAATTAGTTTCATTCAGCTGAGCATATTTCTTTTAGAAAAATAAAATGGGGATATCTAACAACAAGGTCTGCACCAGAAACAAAATTATTCTCGATTGAAGATAAGCGATTGTTTCTACAAGTCTTAGCCACAATAATAATAATTTTAATTATTAGAACTTCATAATGACCTACACATATCTTGAGTTCAATACATGTTTCTATATGGTATCATGACAGAAGGTTGTTTTTGTTTCTCAGGGTATATTAGATCTAAGTCATTGGACATTTATGTATTTTTTTATTATTGAGTTTTGTCATTTAAAAGCAAATTCCTTTTTGTCGGAAGCTTTTATTCAGTGTTGGTCACTCTCAACTTCCCATGAACTGCAGGGACACCTACTGGACTGGATGTATTTCTCAATACACTCACATTCAGCGCCATCTGCTGGACAGATATCGACTACATCTGATAGGAAGGAACTGCACATATAAAAGAGTAATAGATTCTTTCCTAATGCCCTACCTGTTACTTTAACATGTCAAAAACATTTAATAATAAATATTATACAAACCTTTAAAATCTCGTTTAATTAATACCTTAGGCTGAGCTACGACCACTTCATAGAATGTTTTTAGTGTTCTTAAAATTGGTATATAACAATTTATCCAGTTTTTTCAATATCAAATATACAGTGTGTACAACATCTGGATCTAAACTTGACTTTTGGATAAAGTTGTCATTGGTTTGTGTGACCAGGATGATTTCAAACAGCGCTGCTCAAAATGGCTCTTCTGACAATTTAGGAGTTTACAGCACTCCCATTTGGGCGGCACATTTTTCTAGCAAACAACTTTTTCTTATGGGACACCACGAGTTTCCCGCCAGAGGGCGCTTGACGGCCCGGAAGGCAGAAACCATTTAAATAGGTAAGTATAATCAATTTAACCCAGTTGAAATCTGTTCCAGCAATCTCTCTCTCTATATATTTTTGCAAATGATTTAACCAGTAACAAAAACCGACCTTGATTGGTGCAGACAAAGTGTATTTCTATAGTCTTTGGCACAGATGGAACAGCGCTGAAAAACGTAACAGATATCACGTTACAAAGACTGTCTAGGCGCCGTTTCAACAGCGGATTTGTCTACAATAATTACATATTGTTTGACATTGTATTAAAATACACATTTAACTCTTTCCCCGCCACTGACGAGTTATCTCGTCCTTTACAAGAAAACGCTTCCCCGCCAAAGACGAGTTTTTACGGCTTTCCGTGTTTTCACTGTTGTACACTCGGGGGCGCTATTACGCATCTTCAGAACGAGTACAAAACCTACCGAACAAAAACACACGTAAACAGGACGGAGAAACGAGCAATCTTTTATGTAAACAGATTCATATGAAAAATAATGCGATCATCAGCAATAGACAGCATAGAATAAAACTGATTTTTCTTTTTTTTTAGTAAAAAAAGTAGAGGCTCTGATCTTTATTTTGGTGTATTGCATATTCAAATATTCATACAGAAAAATATACTGGAGGCCATCAAATTTTATTGAAAATCATCAAAATCGCTGGCGGTGGCTGGCAAATGTTTTCAAAAATGCTGGCGGGGAAAGAGTTAAGAATAAAACAAGATCATTATTATTTATATTTACGGTCATTCTAGTCACAGTCAACTACACATTATCTCAGTGTGTAATCAAAGTCCCTTTCAAGGATTTCTATAGTCTGTATTTCTATAGTTATCTCCAGTCCAGAAGGAAGCGCTCTATTCCGTTATCAAGTGGCGTATTATACACGCGCCGCTCGGTGTTCTCGTACGTATTTTGTAAACAGTCGCTTTTCTGGATTGAAGAAATCCGTTTATTTCTCTCAATGGACGAAGAATTCTACGGCAATGCCGGAGAATGGGAGGGACACGACGGCAACATGGTAACGTTAGTTTACTGAAACCACACCACACCACAGACACCAAAACCATGAAATTATAATCTGATTTAACGTTACCAGCTACAATTTTGAAATCAGGAATTGCTTTGATTTTCATTCACTCTTACAAAAAGTACTGTCGTGGTACCATATTCGTATACCGTATTATTTATATGAAACTCTCCAGGGTAGTTAAAATAATAACGTGGAACATGTGCAAAATCCGTGATTGCGCCATGATGAAACATGGTACATAGACAAAAACATGGAATTACCATCGTGCCATGTTTAAAAAAAACAAAAAAAACTTCGCTAGTCGTATATGTCCATAAACACACGTCATTTTCCAGGTTATTAATTATTATAATTTAATATCGAGAGTTAATATGTTAGATTGTAATATGCACAAATAATATCTTGATCTTTATTTGACCCTTTAACTCTAGCACTTTCTATTCTATTTTAATTCTACTTTATTTATCTTCTTTGTGTGTGTGTGTGTGTGTATATATGTATGTGTATATGTGTATATATATATATACACCTTGCTACG